AGTGAAGCAACAACCTCCACAACTAGACTGAAGAACAAAAGGACAGCAACTTGTCTGTTCCCCTTCCCCCAATTCCCCAGCATTGTTCCCATCCCCCTAATTCCCCAATTAAGAAAAAAAATCTTAAAAAAAAAAGAAAAAGAGGGGGCATATACATGCTTACATAAAATATACAAGAAACTAACACTATTTCTGAAGGAGGCTGAGCCTGGGGGTCAGGGTTGGGTGGGAGATTTATTTTTCACTTAGATCCTTTCAGATTATTTTTTTACTGTATGCAAGTATTATCTGTTAAAAATCATTTTTTTACAGTTTAAAAAGTGATGTGAAAGATGAAGTTACATGTTTGAAGCATTATTACATGTTTCTGGTGATGTGCAGACACTCCATGTGGTGTAATAATAAAGGAAAAAGCAGAGTCCACAACTGTATTATTCAGTAGGACTTAAAACTACATAAAGCAAAAACTGAAGAGAAAAATACTAGAAGACATTTACCTCATTATAAGTGGCTACCTGTAGGTCATGGCATTGTTTCTTTTCCTTTTCAATTTTTCTTGTCAGCTTTAAATTTTTTAAATATGTTGAAAAAATAATACATTCACATGGCCTCACATTTAAAAGGTCTTTTCAAGTTTTTTACAAGTTGGGAAGAATAAAAACACGAGAAAAACAAATCCCGTAAAAGCGTAAAAAGCCCACAGTTCCAGCCAGCAAGGCAGAATACTCTGGGATCTCCAAGGGTGGACCCGCCCGTTTCTGACTCATGCACCAAGTCCCAGCGGCTCGAAAGAACCACAAGGACAGAAAGGCAGCAGTCAAGTTTCCAGGGTTCAAATACACCTGCACCATTTCCTGGGACAAGGCACTTAGCTCCCCCGGGCTTTAGATGGGGATAATGGTCGTACCTACCTCACAGAGATGTGGTGAGGAGGATAACCAAGAAACGTACGGCGCTTAGCAGTGCCTGACACAAATTAAGCTTCCAGGAAATGTTATCGTTATTGTTATTGCGCACCAAGGCCCAGGATGCTAGGATGCAGGGCCCTGTGCGCCGGCCTCCCCATCTCGGTCAGTCCCTAGCCAAGGCCCGAGTTCCTGCTTCCGGTCAAGGGGCAGCAGGATACTGCGGCCCCGCCCTAGTCCCCTCGATCCAGGTCTAGAGGCCCTCGCCGCCTGGGTTCCGCCCTCCAGTCAGCTCAGGCCCAGCCCCGCGCAGCCCCGTGGATTTTCAGCCTGGTGCGCTAAGACGCCCTTGGAGGATGGAAGGCCAGACGCAAGGTGCTGGGCGGCCGTGCTCAGCCACCTTCCGACCGCCACCTAAGAACTCCCGGCGGACACTCACCATCTCTGACCGATCCCGAAACTCCGCGTCGGTACTCAGCTTAGTCCCGGTGCCTTTCCACGCCTGCGCAGAACACCCAGTCAAAACGGACAGCTTCTGTACCCAATCAGGAACCAGCGTGAGGCGGGAGGGCAGGCGGGCCTTAATCAGTTCCCCCAGGGCTCGTGGGGAATTTGCCCAGCGCGTTCGGAAAGTGAAATGCAAAGGCGCGCTTCAGCTATGGAAAATTCCCAACTCCCGCTGTGCCGAAAAGATGCTGGTTCGCGGTGTCCAAAGACCTCTCAACCGAGGTCTGAGCTGGCCCTGAAAGCCCTGGGTTGAAGGCGGTGGGCGAGTATTAAAGAAAGGAGGGGGGTTGCTGAGACTCCCCCCTCTGCGCCCAGATTGAGGCAAAGTGTGGAGCGGAGCCAAAATGCACCGAATAGGCGGTCAAGTCCGGGGTCGACGCTGGAATCTAGCGTCTCCGGGGTGTCCAGAGCGATCCCCCTGGGAATATTCCGTACAGGCCCTGAGATGAGGTGGTTAGGGCTAGCCTGAAAGTCTGCAGACTTAGGACTCCAGCTCAGCCCCACCCCTATGTTACTTCACGTCTCTGTGCACCCTTGTTTTCTCCCCTTTAAAAGGGGATCCTCCTTCCCCAGAGCCCGATGTTGCTCCTTTTCCAGCTCTTTAACCGTCTACTCCTGGCCACAAAGTTATTTCTCTAGCAGGAAATAACTTAAATCATGCTGCCATTTAGTGAACCTTGTGCCACGTTACTGGCCTGAACACTTAGACACTATCTCCAGTAGCCTCAGCATCGCTTTACAAATGCTTTTTTTTTTTTTTAAATTTTTATTGGAGAATTGGGGGGATGGGAACAGACAAGTTGCTGTCCTTTTGTTCTTCAGTCTAGTTGTGGAGGACGTTGCTTCACTGGCCCCAGTTGGCACCATCATTGCGCTCTTNTTTTGTTCTTCAGTCTAGTTGTGGAGGACGTTGCTTCACTGGCCCCAGTTGGCAACATCATTGCGCTCTTCCCGGGCGAGGCAGATCAGTCATCGGCTTCTGGATGGCCGCTCATGCTGGCTGCTGGCCGCTCACGCTGGCTGCTGGCTACACACGGTAGCCCATGGCAACCCACTGCAGCAGGGGCTGCATCCTAGCCATAGCAGGCAACTCATGGCAGCCCAGCTCCAGGTTGAGCTGTTGTTCAGCATCTTAGCTGTAGAGGGCTGTGTCACTGGCCCTTATATGTGGGATCCAAACCGGGGCCCTCTGGCGTCCCAAGCCAGCTCTTAACCATCGCGCCACTCGGCTGGCCCTCTTTTCTTTTTTTAAGAAAAGATCTTATTGGGGAATTGGAGGAGGGGAACAGACAAGGTGCTGTCCTTTTGTTCTTCAGTCTAGTTGTGGAGGACACTGCTTCACTGGCCCAAGTTGGTATTGGATTGTCGGAAGTCATGACATATTTTATGTTTTTCATTGCAAATACGTGTCATGACTTTTTCGACAACCCAATATTACCATCACTGCGCTCTTCCCGGCTGAGGCAGTTGGTCGCGGCCGTTGGATGGCGACTCTTGGCAGCCCAGCTCCAGGTTGAGCTGTTGTTCACCATCTTAGCTGTAGAGTGCGCAGCGTAACTGGCCCTAATGTGGGATCTGAACTGGTGGCTCTGCTGCTCAAAGCTCGAGCTCCCAAGCCAACTCATAACCAATTGAGCCACTTGGCCGGGCCCCTACAAATGCTTTTTCTTCGAGACGCTGGAACTTGCTGAATTCAACACAGATGATCTAACTTCATTTTTCATTCCACACATTCCACAGTAGCCTCTCTTAATTTGGTGCTCATTCTAGCGGTGTCTGCATGTTAAGAGGATTGGGTAGTGACTTTACAGTCAGGAAACCTGGTAGACCCCATCTTAACCCAAGGATCAAGGTTACCATTACTGGTATTGGATATTTTGATGTGTGCTCCCTGATATCAGGCACTAAGGGCATATCACCTCTGGTATTTTTTTTAAACAAAAATCCATGTTAAGTCTTAACCATGAGAAAACATTAAACCAAGTTTGAGGGACATTTTTGCAAGGTACCTACCAGGACTTTTCAAAAACGGTCATGGTATTGAGACAAGGAATGAATGAGGGACTGTCACAGATTAGACTGAGAAAAATGTCATTGGTGGAAAAATCGGTGAAATCTGAATAAGGGCTGTAGTTAACTTATTTTACCAAGGTCAACTTATTAGTTTTGATAATTATACCAAGTTATACAGGAATGATAACACTGCGGAAAGCTGGGTGAAGGGTATGTAGGAGCTCTCTGTACTACTATCTTTGCACTAGTTCTATAAAGTCTCTAAGTGCTGCAGAGACTGGACCTCAAAACATCAAGATAAGCACACAAGTGATCATTACCATTATCTTACTTATGGAGAACCAGACTGAGAGTGAGGATTTAACAAGATCACAATCACAGAAGCAAAAAAGAGAATGGCAATAGTTTATGTGACGAGCCAGAATGAGGGTGAAGGAGGAATTGGACTAGCTTGGGCCCTGTTGACTTTGAGTGGCAGCTTATATGAGTTTTGGAGTTTATTCTGTGGTAATGGAGGAACCATTATAAAATTTTAAGAAGCGGAGAAGCGGGCCGGCCGAGTGGCTCGATGGTTAAGAACTGGCTTGGGATGCCAGAGGGCCCCNCAGGTTGAGCTGTTGTTCAGCATCTTAGCTGTAGAGGGCAGTGTCACTGGCCCTCATATGTGGGATCCGAACCGGGGCCCTCTGGTGTCCCAAGTCAGCTCTTAACAATGCGCCACTCGGCCAGCCCAATCTTATGATTTTTTTAAAATAATCAATTTAAAATTTTCATGCAAATTTATTTTTTTTTAAAGTTTCCTGTAAAACTAGAATAGATTCTCCAACCTGATCCCAACCAGAAAGACGGGCTAGGCCTGAAGGAGTGGGAGCCACGAGATCTAGAGGGGTCTCCAGGTGGCACAGGGCACCAGCTACCTGTCTGGGTTCAAGGGAAACTGCTTAAAACAAACCTCTGTTCAGCCCTAAAGGAGCCAAGAGAGAAAATAAGTGTTCTCAAAAAGCCACAAGAGGGCCGGCTGAGTGGCTCAGCTGGTTAAGAGCTTGCTTGGGAGTGCCAGCTCTGGGCAGCAGGGCCCCGGTTCGGATCCCACATGAGGGCCAGAGGCGCTTGCCCTCTACAGCTAAGATGGTGAATAACAGCTCGACCTGGAGCTGGGCTGCTGTGAGTCGCCGGTGATGGCATAGGTTGCAGTGGGGCTGCAGTGGGCTGCCATGAGCTACCGTGAGTGGCTGGCAGCCAGCGTGAGCGGCCGGCAGCAGATGTGAGCTGCCAAGAGGCGCTGTGAGCGGCCGACCAATGGCTGGTGACCCATCTGCCTCGGCCGGTAAGAGCACAATGATCATACCAACATGGGCCAGTGAAGCGACGTCTTCCACAATTAGACTGAAGAACAAAAACAGCAATTTGTCTACCTGTCTGTTCCCCTTCCTTGATTCCCCAACGCTATTCCCCTCCTCCCAATTCCCCAATAAAAATCTTTTTAAAAAGCCACAAGCAGCAAAGGGACATTTGCAGATGGCAAAGGACAGTCCTAGTCAGGCATTCAAGTCATGCATGCCAACTCTGCCTCAAAGTTTGTCATTCCTACAATACTAGCCAACTGGTACCAGAAATATCCAAGTGGATATGCAGCCCCCCAGGGTCAGCTCACATCTCCAACTTCCTGTCCTGCTCCTAGAGGGAGCCCGCCTGTACCCTCAGCATTCTGGGCCTGAAGTACTGTTAACAAGGGTATCTGCATCAGGGAAGGGACAAAACTCCTGGGTTTTTAGTTCTCAGGTGTGTATTGCTGAAAGATGGAAAAAACAAGTAGCAGTAAAACTTCAGGGTTATTTATGGGGTCAGCATGGGGAGGGAAAACCATCTGAAGCAAATGATTCACAAGGGAACTGTGACCAATTTGACTACTAAGCATACAACTTTTAATTTCTATAAAAACAGAAATAAATCAAAAGGATAGAAAAACATCTGAATCAAATATAACAAACAAAAGAGTAATTCCAAAACACTGTACAAAATGATTAAAACAGCAAGTCTCCAAAAGTGAACTGGGCAAAAAGGATACTATACAAAATACACCTAAGAGAAATTACAAACACATAGAAAAATGTTTATTGTTCCTTGTAAATGAAGAAATGAAAAATTATAGCAATGCTGAGGTATCTTTTTAAATACTTGTAATGATATGGCAAAACTGGTACAAAGGTGCTACGACCTTTTGGGAAAGCTACAGGCCAACACTACTGCAAGAACCATAAAAATGTCGGTTTCTTTGCCTTAGAAATTCTTTTCCTGAGAATTTCTCCTAAGGATATCATCTGACAAAATTTTTTAAAAAGAAAAATGAAACAAACTCTACACATACAGAGGCATTCATCACAGTTAGCTCTACTAATGAAGAAGCAACCCAAATGTACACCGGGGGAACGGTGTGGGAAATTACGGTACAACTATTTCACTGACTATTATGTAGTCACTAAAAATAATTCATCACAAAGATGATGTAGCAACAAGGTTAAATGTTCTCTGGACATTAAGAAAAACTAGCACATACATCTTGAAAAATATGCACGTGAACAAAGAGGAGGGAGAACATATAGACATGAAAACAGTCATGTGGTAGAGAAAAACTGGATGAGAATTATGATTTTTATATCACTGCTCTAAAGGGC